CCTTAGACCCAGAAATCCCAGCCTCAGACCCTAGGGGTCCTAGGAATGCTCAGGTCCTCCTTCAGGATCCCGGAGTTTGGGATGCGCCCCCAGCCCCCATGGGGTTAACCGAGGGTGGGGGGAGGGGGAGGGGCGGGGTTTCTGGGGCGGGGAGGCGGGGCTTGGGTCCCTGGAGCCTGAGACCGGCTAGGAAGGAGCGAGGTCCTCTGAGCCGCTCCCTGGTAATTTCAGGCCCGACAGGTCTGGCTGGCCTGGCCGAAAGCGGGAGGGACTTTCACTCGTTCCTTTCCTTCCTCCCCAGGAGCAGCAGCATAACCGGTTTGAGAGTGGATAATTCTCAGCCCCGCCCAATTTGCAGATTGCACCCCAATCCTGGAACTGGGGCCTTGGACTCCCTGGAGGAGAGGAGGACTCTGAGGAGCTCTGGGACCTGGGAGGGAGGTGGCGCATCTGAGAATCCAGACCCCCGAATCCCAGCAGTGAGAGACGAGATTCAGGAAAACGTTTTTAGAGAGCAGGCCAGTGTAGGCCAAAAAACCAGTATGACATTTCTAACCCATGTTTTCGGGAGGCTGCTCTAGTACCTCAGATTCATTTCGGGGTCAGAACACAGGGCTGGGCATAGATCTAGAGAGCAGATGTCGTGAAGACATGCCTGGATGCAGAAAGAACCTGTGCTTCCACGTTCACCACGTGTGGTGGGGTGAGATCCACACACTAGGCTAAGTAAAGAGTCACAATCTAGAGCCGAGGTTGAGAACTTAGAACCAGCCAAAAGCAGCCCCATAATTTAGAGTGTGTCAGTCATCCCAGAACCCCAAATACAGAGAGGAGCATCATGGTACCAAAAACCGTGGTACCAAGGAACAAACCAAATGCAACACATAGCAAGAATAATAATGTAATCTAGAACTCAGCACGCACTTGGGACCAAGGGATTAACACAGAATATAGCACAGGTCACATGCTTGGTTTGGTCAGAAGACAAACTCAGTGCTAGAGCTTTCCAACTTGGGCCTGGCAGAATGGCTCCTGCAAAGAACGGTGGCAAAAAGAAGGGACATTCTGTCATCAACTAGGTGGTGACCCGAGAATACACCATCAACATTCACAAGTGCATCCATGGAGTGGGCTTCAAGAACCGTGTCCCTAGGGCACTTAAGGAGATTTGTAAATTTGCTATGAAGGAAATGGGGATTCCAGATGTGCACATTGATACCAGGCTCAACAGGGGCTGGGGATTTAGCTCAGCGGTTCTGCACCTGCCTCGCAAGTGCAAAGACCCCAGTTCGATCCCAGGCACCAAAAAAAAAAAAAAAAAAAGAATGCCAGGCTCAACAAAGCTGTCTGAACTAAAGGAATAAGGAACGTCCCATATCTTATCTGTATACTATTGTCCAGAAAACGTAATTCACCAAATAAGCTCTATACTTTGCTAACCTACATCCCTGTTATCCCTGTTATAATCTTCAAAAATCTCCAGTGAATGTGGATGAGAACTTTCAAATAAAGTTACAAAACTATAATTTAAAAAAACCCTCAGTGGTAGAGCACTTGCCTAGCATGTGCCTGCCCCTGAGTCCCTGGGGGGGAGGGGTACAAGACAAAGTAACCAAGATTAATTACTGATAGAATCAGAAAACAAAAGATGAGGGTGGGGATTTAGCTCGGTGGCTCCGCGCCTGCCTCCTAATTGCAAGGTCCTGAGTTTGGTCCCTGGTACCAAAAAAAACCCACAAAAGACAAGCTCTGGAACTGGGGTTTAGCTCAGTGGAACAGCACTTGCCTAGCATGTCCAAGGCCATAGGTTCAATCCCTCACACTAAAAAAAAAAAACCCTATTCTAGAGTTCAGAACATCCCCCATAGGGATGAAGAAAAACAGACAGTAACAAGGAGTTTGCCTGGAACTTGGAAGTACAGAAGTAGCTGGAGGAAAGCGCAAAAGGATGGAGATGAGATTAAACAAAAATTAAGACTTTCCTGAGAGCCAGGCATGGTGGTGCATGCCTCAGGAGGCTGAGGTAGGAGGATCACAGGTTCAAGGCCACCCTGAACTACATAGCAAGACCCTGTCTTTAGAAACCAAAACAAAACAAAAAAATAATTTCCTGAGCTCAAGACTGAACTGGCAAGGGAGAAGTGTGTTCTGGAAATGGGAATATTCTAAGCTGAAGACTCTGCAGGAGGAGAGAGCCTAGAACATGCTTAGGATGCCAAAGTGGCAGATGGAGGAGAAGTCCACAGTGCGCCAGGCAACAAGTTCTACACTAAGGCCGAAGTAGAAAAAACACAGACAAAGGAGGCAGCCACGGATGGGCCTAGAACCTAGAACCTGAGGAAGAAAAATGTAATGTAGAACACCTTGTGGGCAATCTTCTAGATTTAAAATCATGAAATACGATGGAACGTAAAACAAAGAAATTAATTTTAGAATCGATAGCACACATTGGAGAAAGGCTGGAGCATATTATAGAACACAGTCTAGAAGTTAGAATGTTCTTAGGAAGAGAACACAATCTAGGATGCCAAGGATGTGGATACAACTAAAATGGAAATTTGGTGGAGACTAAGAAGTGGTTGCTCGAAATTTAGAAGAGACCTGCAGAGAGGGTGAGATTAGAATTTGGCTTGGGGATATTATCTAGACATTTGAAGAGATAAGTGGAAAAAGACATGGTTAGAATTTAGCAGCTGGTCTAGAACTTCAGTTGTGCCCTGGGTGAAAATAGAACAGAGACATCCCCTGGGATGGTTCTGGACTTAAAGGGAATCTAGAACATGGAGCTATGCGATGGCACCAGTGTAACTAAAAACATGGAAGCCTGTAGGTAGGTAGGTAGGTAGGTTCTAGATCACCCAACAAGGCTAGTAAACCTTAGAATCCATCTGGGGGAGAAGGCGGAGGATGGGCTTGTTGGCCTGGGAGAGTGTACTCAGACAACATCCAGAAGTGGGGTGAAGAGGCAATGTAGTGGTGGAAACATCTCAAGAGTTTGGGTCTTAGGGGAGAGAGGAGAGCGGGTTCCAGAAGCCTAGTGTCTGACTTGCTATGAGGATGAGATGGAGGTTTGTCAAAGCCACAGGATATGTGAATTTGATGAGAGTCATGAGGCCACGAGGATCTAGGTCCCTAAAAGTTAGATCTGAGAAGGTAGATTGGGGGGTGAACAGAGCTGGAGGCCTGGACCCTTGAACCCTTGTGGAGGTGGGAGACAAGAAGTTGGAAGTTTAGAGCCTGAGTCTTTCGGGGGAGGGAGGGCTGGGGCGGGTGACGTGGGTAAAGGCTGAGGGGCAGTACAGAAGCTGGGTCCTGAGCTCCAGGGTCCTGCGGGGATTTGGGAATAGGGACCAGACACTTAGGTCTCCCGGGGGGAGGGTGGACAGAAGCTGAGGAATTGCATTTCAGATCCCTGGAAGGAAGCGAGTCATGGCGCCTGAGTTCCTAAAGGAGCAGATGCTGGGTACCAGGAGGATGAGTAGGTTTGTTTGAGGAGCACGGGGGCTGTTCAACTAGGCACTGGGGGGAAGCTGGAAAGTGGGATTCCTGGGAACTATCAGCCTGGTCCGGCGAATGGGGGAGAGCTGACAGCCTTCCAGAACTGGGTAGGAGCTGGGTGCCAAGGTCCCTGAGGTGGACAGGGCAGGAACATTCAGTAGCACCGTCTCCTTAGAGAGCAGATGGGGTCCCGGAGACCTGGGGTGCCGAGAGTCTGCCCAGCGGGACCCTGCGGCCGGGGTTGGGGAGGGCCCAGGTATCCCCGGGTCGCAGGCGCGGTGGGGGGTGTCCCCCTCGCCGCCCGCGCCCCCTTCCTGGCAGCAGCAACTCAGGGTGGGGGAGCCAGGCTGCCGGGCGGGCTGACCATGGACAGCTCCGGAGCGGGCCTGTGCCCAGAGCGGCCGGCAGCCGGCCTGGCTGAGAGAAGCGGCCGAGGCTAGAGACCCGGACTGGGGCGCCCATGCGGACGATGCCGACGCGCGGGGGAGACTGACAGCCGCGGCTGTCGCCCGGGGTGCTCGGGACTGGGAAGCAGAGGGATCAAGGCTCGAGGGGTCCGCGAGTGGACGGGGAATCCAGCCTCCTGGGCCCCGGAGGAGGCGCAGGGAGGCAGCACGCCCGGGATTCTGGTGTGCTGGGTTCCACTGGGAACTCTGGGCGCCGCAAAGGGGATGCTGAGTCTCCAGGTCGAGCTGTGGAATCCGGGCTCTGGGGTCCCGGGGGACGAGCTCGGGAAACCAGGATCTCCAGGCGGCGGGGGAGGCTCGCCCAGGATCCCCGGGGTGGGCGCTGCCAGGCGGGCTGGGCCGGGCGCTTACCTACCTGGTCCGCGGCGGCTGCGGGCGGAGCTGGGCTGCAGAAGGGACGTGGGGTGGGGTGGGGGGACCGGGCGGGGCCCCTGGCGGCGGCCGGGGCCCGGATCTGGAGCTCTGGAGCCCTGTCTCTGCCGCTTGCGCGGGCTCAGCGTCTCCTACTCCGGTTTGGGCGCTGGGGACCCCCCTCCCCCTCAGCCTCACAGCCCTCTACCCCCTAAAATAGCCCCTTACCCCTATCACCGTTCAGCCTCCCCCCGCGAGGGCACAACCGCCAGATCCAGGGGTGCCCACCAGCGCCCCCCAAATCCCACCTCCCCCCCAAAATTTCCTCTTCCCTCCCCCTCCCCCCCACAGCTCCCAGGCGGTCGTGGCCCCTTTAACAGGAGACTGACAGACGGTGCCGTGTGGCCAATGGGAGGCGGTGTCCGTGCCGGCCGGCGACTAGACCCCGCCTCCGCACGGGTAGGGAGGGGCCGCGCGGGCGGAGAGCGGGAGGCGGGGCTCAAGGTGCATCGGCCAATAGACCCACGGCGTGCGGCGGCTGGGGCGGGGGGCGGAGCCCGGCAGGGGGATGATGTCACCTGGAGCTAGTAGCTCGCAGCGTGGACCGCGACTCGCGACCCCAGTTCCTGGCGGTGGCGCGCGCCGGCCCTCGAGCTGCACGGGACGCGAGGGCTGGGCGGGCAGCGGAATGGGAATAAAGGTTGGGTTTTAAGGGAAGGGCGGCTCCCGGAAAGACATGCTTTGGTTTGAAGGTGGGTAAGTGCCTGATGGGTGAGTGCACCTTGTTCTGCACCCCTGCGCCCGACTCGGTAACTGCACGCGGCACCCCCACCCCCGACTCCCACGTAGACGGTCGTGCGGCCTGCGGGCTCCCCCGGCGGACGAGGCTAATGGTTTGCTCCGCCCCGCCCACACAGAGGCCGCCCACTGGCTGCTGTCACGGCTCAGGACTCCTCGGTCAGACCAAATGCAGAGGAAGGGCCGAGCCCGGCCCTCGGACTCTCGTAAGGGTAGGGGTCGCTGTTTTCAGGGCCCTCGCACCCAGATCCAGACCAGGTCCCGGCCTCCACCCTCAGATTTGCCCCTAAGAAGCCGGCCGCCTCCACCTTCAGACCAGGGGAGAGGAGAGGGTGCTGCCTCTGCTCTCTGACTTTGAAAAAGGCGTCAGGGCTTGGTCGACCTCAGCTCCCCCAAGCCCGCCCGCCCCGCACCTCAAGATGCTCTAACCCCAGGACAGACACACAGACACTCAGCAAGGGTCAAAGATCTTTAAATAGGGAGTCGGTGACAATAAATACTGTACAGGGGAAAGGTGAGGGTCCAGATCTGTGGTTTCAGCCTCGAGACTCCAAAGACCTGCGGGGGGCGTGGTGAAGAGAGGGGAGCAGGCTCAGGGGAGGGGCCGGCACCAGAAAGGCAGGGCTGGGGTTGGGGGGGGGGCGCTAGGAGGTTCCCAATAAGGGGATGAAGGGACCGATCCCCGGGAGTCTGGCCACAGCGAGAGGGTCAAGAGTCAGAATGCCCAAGGACAGGCAGGAGCCGGGGCTGGGGCGGCAAGAGCCCAGGGATCACCGGTCGGTCTGAGTTGGGCTGAGAAGAGGCAGGTAGCAGAGGCCCAAGGGGTGGGTGACCAGGGGCTCACGAGTAGCTCTGGTGCTGCTGGCGCCGGCGGGCGGAGCGCATCTTCTCAAAGCGGGCCTCCATCTCCTCCAGCACGCGGGGCGTGTACCGAACCACCAGCTTCACAGAGCCCTGGGCCGCCTTCAGCAGCTCCACCGCCTTCTCGTGCTGCTCGCCCTCCACGCTCTGCAGGGCAGGCCGATGCACAGCTGGCTGGGCCCGCCCCGCCAAGAAGCCGGCCGCTAGTGAGCCTGGTACCAGGCCAGGCGGGCCAGGGCCTCAGGTCCTCCTCTTGGGAGTCACTCACTGAGCCAGTCCTTGTCCCCTCCCACCTTGGTTTTCCTTTCATGGGCCACACAGCTCTAGCCCTGGCTCAGGTGGTGTCCTCTCCCCACTTCCTTCCCTCCCAGAGGCCCCCAGAGGGCTCTTTCTACAATCCCAGGCAACACAATCCCTCCCCTGCTCTCAGCCTTCCCATGGCTTGTCAGGCTGGCACTTAAGCCCTGTATGAGTGGCCCCAACCACCTACCAGTCATGCTTCTTTCTACTCTAACCAGTGTTTTAATTACCTGCATGTCCCAGATCTCCATCAGAACTGAGCCCTGTCTCAGAGAAGTGCAGAGATAGCCCCTACCTACAACACCTACAGCCAGGAATACTCTTCACCAGGTTTGCCTGGAGAACTTCTATTCATTCATCCTTCAAGACTCAGCTCGAATGTTTCTTCTGCAAAAACTTTCCTCATCTACACTGGGCTGGAGCCACATCTGGATTCCCACAATGCTTCTAGTTCAGTCAGGCTAGGGAGGGGAGTCCCTGAGTCTCAGGGTGGGCAGCCCCTCACAGTGCAGGGCTGGCCACAGAGCGGTGCTCAGTTGGTGGTGAATGGATGTCACAGTCAGGGTCTGCACTACACACGGTGCCCTCAGCCCTGCCCAGCCCCCCACTCACCACACCGTTGACAGACAGCAGCTGGTCCCCACGCTTGAGGCCTCCGTGACGGTCAGCCACGCCTCCTGGGATGACACGTGAGATGTAGATGGGTGAGTTCTGCTCTTTGCCTCCCATGATGTTGAAGCCCAGGCCCTCATCCGTCTTGGGCAGTTCCACCACCCTGGGATGTGCGTGACCCTCACTAGCTGTGAAGGCAGCCACTGTGGCCTGGGAGAGAGGAAGTGCGCAGAGGTGAGGGGCCTTCCACAGTGGGCATGCAGGAACAGGCACAGGGATGGGCAGGGAGAGCAAGCTGAGCCAGACCGCTTCCCCCAAGTTCAGGGTCACACTGTGCTGACCGTATCCCCTTTTAGTTCACCCGCCTGCTTCTGGTGTGCTATTGTGAAGTCTCCAGGTGGTGCATGTCTTGAACACTCAGCACTTGCCAATCTTGTTTTTTGTTGTTAGGTACTGGGGATTGAACTCAGGGCCTTTGCACCAAGTTATATCCCGAGTCATTTTTCATTTTGGTCTTGCTAAGTTGCCCAGGCTGGGCAACTTGAACTTGGGAGCCCCCTGCCTCGGCCTTTCAGAGTACTGGAATTACAGGGATGCTCCGTCACACCCGTCCCAATCTTTCGTTTTTACAAATGGAAACTAAGCCTGGAGGGCTCTCAGAGCCACCAGGCAGCAAGAAGCAGCATCTAATTGCAGAGTAATAAGAGTTCCCTACAGACAGTCTGCTGTATAGAGGGTTACAGTTATCTTCTAGGCAGCACTGCGTTGTTAGTTTCCATTTGCCTATTATGTGCAGTTATTTAAAAGAAGTTAAAATAAAGACTCAGAGTTTTTACAATTTTGGTAAAAATCACGAAGGAGGGCACAGGACTGCCTGGCCCAGCAGGGTGGGACGCCTACCTTGGCCGTGGCATGAGCCCGGATCTCAGCGCTGCCTGTGATGTCCAACGTGTCATAGAGCTGCTCATACACCTGCGGAGGACGCAGCAGCTTCAAGGAGCCGCCAGCTCCCTCCTCTCTTAGAGACAGTCGCCCCGTGGCCTCCGGAACCCCTCTCCCCCGTCACCGAAGGGTCCGCCCCGCCCCCGCAGACTACAACTCCCACAGAGCCCCGGGCTGGGCTACAGCGCGGCCTCTGCGCAGGCGGCTCGGGCGCTGTCGGGAGGCGTAGTCCGGGCTCACCTCGCGGATGGCGGAGCAGAAGCGGCTCTGCAGAACCCGCTGGAGAGCCTGCAGCTTCTGGGGCGGCAGCTCTCCGCTGCGCTGGAGCCGCTCGAGGAGCTCCACGGCCCGGGACACGTCTGCGAGGCGAGGGCGGAGATGACATCACGGCACAGAGGCCACGGAGAGAGGCAGCGAGAGATGGAGTCAGGGCGGGGGCGACGGAGGTGGGAAGGACTGGGAAGGACGGCAGAAGACAAGCCGCCCGTCCCGCTGCGTCCAGGTGGCCCGGAGGACTGAGCCAGCGCGCTCCCGACCCAGCCCGGGGCCCCACGCAGCGGACCCGCCCCGTCCCGCCCACCCCACCGGTCAGCCCGCCCACTGCGCCGGCCTGGCCGGGCGGGCGGAGTCGCGTGGGGTCGCAGGCGGCGGCTGGGTGCGCGGGGCCCCCGGCGCTTACCCCGCTCCAGCCCCAGCGGCTCGACCAGCGCAGCCATGTCGGCGCCGCCGCAGCCGCCAGCCGCCCGCCTGCCCCGGTGCCGGCGAGGGGGCGGTGCTGCGCGAGGCCCCGCCCCGGGCGGCGAGCGCCCCCTGCGGAGGCCCGGCCAGCTCCGACCGGAGCGTCTTAGCCCGGCAGTCAGCAAGTTCTTCTGTCCCACTCCATCCTGTTTACTGCACCTGTTCATCTCCTTTCCGTCCATTCCTCAGGTTTCCACATTCAACAGACCCTGAGCGGGGAGGCCCCGATGGTGAGCAGGGCAGACAAGCCTGCTACCTCAGAGGCTCCTGGTCTAGGGGGTGACAATCAGTGACGCTATGGTTAAGACGAGAGTGAGAGCTGAGCTGAGTTGACAGAAATCCTCCCGGAGGGGCACTGACAAAATCCTGAGAGGTAAGATCCACAGAGTGGGGCCTAGGCGGGAGTGGTGGCGCTTGCCTGTAATCCTTGCTACCTGGGAGGCTGAGGCAAGAAGATCGCCAATTCAAGGCCAGCCTGGGCAATTTAGGAGACCCTGGCTCTAAAATGGAGGGTAACTGCAAAAAGAGCGGAGTGCGGCTAAGATGGAGATGCAGAAGTTGGCAGATCGTCTTGCGTGGCCTTGTAGGTAGGCATCTGCACAGTGAGGATCTGGGACTCCATGCCCACTCCTAGGCGAGGACTGTGATCATCAGTTCGTAGTTTAGGATTGCTGTGGCGACCATGGAGAATCGCTCAGCGAGAAGGCAGTGGCTGGAGGTATAGGCTCTCTCCAAAAGCTCCCCTTGGCTTGCAGGCAGATGGGGCAAGGGACAGGTCTCGGCCAGATGCTCCGCGGGCAGTGGGGGAGAATGCAATGTTGGGGCACTTTGGTGCCTTTGCACCAATATGGGCCTGCTGCAGAAGGGTAGCAGATATTTTGAATGTGTGCCTGTGGCCTGCAGGCAGTTTTGGGAGCTGGGACAACAGGTGGGAAATAAAACCAGAGAAGCGGACAAGGGGAGCAGTAAGAGAACAGGAAACAGGGGCCCTGTTCACCTGAAACTCCCAGCAGGCCCTGGTGGGAGGAGCCCGTGTTTGTAGGAAGAGAAGGGCTCTGGAAAGGCTGAGGAAGCACAGGAAATGTAGGCGAGACTTGTGAAAGTTGGCCGGTTGTGCATGGGCTTCCAGGCAAATTGGATGAGATTGTGGCTTACTCAGCAGTGACAGGACTATGGCAGGCTGGTACCGGGGGTCGATCTCGGGTCCTTGAGCTTGCGCAGCAGCCGGCAAAACCACTGGGCTAAATCCCCGGCCCAATTTTTATGGTGCATGCGGTATGTACTTTGAACTCAGTTCATCAGGCTGGCCTTGAAGTACAGTCCTGCTTCAACCTCACTAGTAGCTGGGCCTTGCAAAGTCATGTATTTATAAAGTTAAAATAAAAAGTAAACAACAGGCTGGGGGATTTAGCTGAGTGGCACGGCACCTGCCTCAAAAGCACAAGGTCTAGGGCCAGGGATTTAGCTCTGTGGTTTCACCGCCTGCTGCGCAAGCACAAGAACCCAAGTTCAATCCCCAGTACCAAAAAAAGCCAAAAAGTGCAAGGTCCTAAGTTCCATCCCAGGTACCAAAAAAAAAGTAAACAACAGGTTAAGAGATAATAAACAACCCACTAGCTCCTGTACCTCTCCTAACTCTACCTCCTTCAAGAGGTGGATGTGGTGGCACACAACTGTAATCCCAGCACTTGGGAGGCTGAGGCTGGAAGACTGTAAATTCAAAATCAGTCTGGATTACATAGCAAGACTGTCTCCAAAAAAAAAAGTAACTTACAGATGTTGTCTGTTGCTTTTGTATTTAAATATGTAACATGCTATTTCTTTTTTTTTTTTTTTGGTAAAGGGCATCGAACTTGGGTCCTTGTGCTTACAAAGCAGGCAGCGGAACCACTGAGCTAAATCCCCGCCCCCCCCCCTTTTTTCTGGTCCCAGGGATCAAACTCAGCACCTTGCACTTTTGAGGTAGACACAGGCATCACTGAGCTAAATCTGCAGCCCTCCTGATTTCTTTTTTTTTTTTTTGGTACCGGAGAATAGAATTTGGGACCTTGTGCTTGCGAGGCAGGCACCAGAACCACTGAGCTAAATCCCTGGCCCATGATTTCTTGATTTACATGTTGGTAATATATTACATACTGTTTTCTGTTCTCACCCCCTTTTATGTCCCTGAGAATTCTTAAACTGGAAGCTTTTGGTTTTACAGGTTGTCAGCCTACAACACTGTTACTGCCGTGTAGTCACAAGAGATTACATTGGATTTCAACACCTCCTTGCCTTTTCTGTGGTTTCTATGAACTTTCATTTTAGTTTTGTTGGCCCTGATTCCTAACAGGCTGCACAGACCTGCCCTTTGTTTCCACTGCTCATGAGCACTGCTCTGGGCCAGGCATTTGTTTCCAGCCAGCGGCTCTGAAGCCGTGGCCTCCCCTTGAGTTCAGCTGACATCAACAGAATGAAAAGCTGGTCATCTGAGGGTTGTCACATCCTCCACCTCCACATGCTCCAGTGCCCCTGCAGCTTCTCCTAGAGTAGTCAGTGCAGAGTACCCCAGCAGTAGCCTAATTTTTTCCTACATTCTTTCTTTCCAAGTCTCTGGCATAATACTGATCTTATTGAATCTTTTTATCCTGAAACTTCTTAGAAACTTCAGTCCTCTTGCCTCCATCTAGGCCACCCGCTTTCTAGAAACTGCCATCTTGGGACCTCCCTCCACATCTCTACTGGATGGAATCCTTGTTGTTTTTGGTACCGGGGACTGAACTTGGGTCCTTGCACTTGCACAGCAGGGAGTGAAACCACAGAGCTAAATCCCCAGCCCTGGACTTAATCTTTTTTAAAGCCCTCATTTTAGTGAAGTATGTTGTCAGTTAATTCCTACAATGATTGTCTTATTTTCAATAAAGTCTACCTTTCCTACCTCTTCTAGTGTTTATAATAGTAAGATTTCAGGTTGCCTTGAGCCTACTCAGCTAATAAATCCACAATTATTTTCCAGTTTTAGAATTTCCATGACCTTGAGGATACAGATCTGTTAAAATTCTCCATTTTTCCTTATGACAGTATGAGTTATTTCATTCTCAACTCCAACATCTGCATTACCCTGGGCCTGTTTAACTTCTTGGATTCCTGCAATTTAAGAGCTATTTGTAGCATGCCTGGTACCTTCTGAGTAGATGCTAAGCATTATAAACCGAAAATCATGGAGTCTGAATGTCTTCCGAGGTAGGCAGAGTGCTCTTTTGGCAGGATGACTGCCAGAACCCTGGTGAGGTCTTGCTTTGGGCTTGAGTCTGGTTGATTCCAGCTGTGGCCTGATTCTGATGTGGAATCTCTGCATCTCGAGCAGAGCTGCCCCAAAATGGGGTCTTGACCTTCCAGCCGATCTCCCCCAGGACCCACGGGGGCTGCAATCTGCTTAGCTGTCATTGCCAAGTGAAGCTGCATTTTGCCATAGAAGCGAGGCTGTGCCTTGCAGTAACCAGGGGAGGGGGCAGTGCCTCTGGGCAGGTTGTAACCTCCTGCCTAGTTCAACCTATAGAACCGGGCACTACAGGCGCAGATTCCCCAGTGCTAAACTGCTGAGCATCCTCAAACCAAATGCTAGCATAGATAAGCAGCCCTTTGAGCACTCTCCTCCCACAGGGATCACAGCCCCTCAGGTCTGACCTCCACAGTTGTTCCACAAGTTTTGGTTTGGCCTCTATACAGCTAGTTTGTGCCAGATTAGTCCAGAATGGGTATCATTAACTCATACCATCAGTCTCCTTGAATGTGCCAGTAAGAAGTATTTCTTTCCTGAATCATGTTCCAGGATCAGTATTTTCTTTTTGAAATCTTGGGGTTTCTTGTTGCAGTTTTTTCTCAAATACCTGAGTATTCTTGGTGTGGTTAAAGACAGGCTCTTAAAGAACAGACTAGATTCCCATGTTACAGTCAGATTCAACTGCCAGGCTTCCTCTGGGCCATCAGGTAAGTTGGGATGCACACTGAGACTTCATCAAAAGTAATCTTGAGTCTTTTTGTTGGTACTGGGGATGGAACTCGGGTCCTTGTGCTTGCAAGGCAGGGGGCAGAACCAGAGCTAATCTTCAGCCCATAAAGTAGGTCTTCCTTGTACCTGCCTAGGAGGCGTGTGGCCAGCTTCTGGCACCCTAGGTCTCACAGAAGACTGATGCCCCACCTCCACTCTCCCTCTTGCAGCCTTGACATCTCCAGGCCAAGGGCTTCCTTCTCAGTGCTGACCACATTGAAGTGTTCACTCAGGTCTGGATACTGGCTGAAATCTTGCTGATGGCCTCTCTTCTGCTTCTGCTCAGCATTCCTTGTCAGGAAATAAGAAGTACATACAGCCCATCCTGAACTGCAGGCCTTTCCGAAACTTCCTGTTCTCCTTTTAGCCATATTCCTTGCAGTTTTCATTTCCTCACCCTGCTTCTTGCTTCAGAGACAACAGCTTCCCTTTCACATACTTGATTTTGTTTCTGCTCAGTAATCCACTGCCTTCTTTCCACTCCTAAGACAGTGTCAGAAGAACCCTGAGAAAGGGTGGGCAAGGTGTTCTTCACCCCCTCCACCCACCAAGCAGCACTGATGTCCTAGGGAGCCTCGGCCCACTAAAGGCAAGCTCTAGGTGCACCCAGAAACCACATGCCAAAGCAGAGCAATCACGTGACAACCTGAGACGTTAAAAGCAGTGAGAATGAAAAGGTGCCCACCATCATCAGGAAATTAATTTTATTTTTAAATCCAAGGGGCCAGAACAAAGAAACTCCTACCCTTGGAGGCAAACTGAGGTGGCGAGGAATGCTGGGGAGAGGGTGACAGTGAGGGCTGGTTAGGATCACGTCCAAACAGAGCAGCTGGGAAGACCTCTTCACTCGGGCGCCGCCTCCATGAGATAGCCGTTCTCTGGAGCCATGTACCCGTCACCGCCCTCAGACTCCATGTACATGTCTCGGCTGTCATTGCCTAGACCTTCCAGCCCGTTGTCCTGGCCACCCCCACCCCCACCCCGGGCCTCATCCCTGCCCCGCTCCCCACC